GCATGTCCCCTACTGCCTGCAACCCAGGCATGTGCCCTTGGCCAGAATTGAACTTGAGACACCTCAGTCTGCAGGCTGATGCTTTATCCAGAGCTAAGCTGGCTAGAGGACAAACCATCCACTTTTGACCAGCTGTAAGCACTTTTATAATGGGGTCCAGTTTATCCACATACATTTGGAGATTGCTATACTCTCTTGATGCCCAGCTAGTGTAACTCAGTGGTTGAGCACCAACCAATGAATCAGGAGCTCATGTTTTGATTCCCAGTCAGGACATATGCCTGGGTTTGAGCTTGATCTCCCAAGGTTCTGGTAGACCTGTTACAGAGGAAGACCATTGCCTTCAGTGGCTGCTTGACCTAGATGTATTTCTTTCAACTTGTTGGAGGGGCAGATGTAGTTTCTTTGTTGGTGATGACATTAGATCGGTACGTGCCTATCTCCAAGCCCCTGCACTATGTGATCCTCATGAGGACGGGGTATTGCACTGCCCTCATTGCAGCCTCTTGGGCAGGGGGCTTTGTCCACTCCATCGTCCAGATTTCCCTGTTGCTCCCACTTCCCTTCTGTGGACACAATGTTATTGATATTTTCTACTACACTGTCCCCCAGATCCTCAACCTCGCCTGCACAGACATTTTTATGCTGGAGCTGCTGATTTCCAATAAAGAATTACTAACCACACTGTGCTTCTTCTTTCTCTTGTGACCTATATGGTCATATTATTAGTAGTGCAGTAAGGTCTCAGGCAGGGGAGGGCAGGAGGAAAGCCATCTCCACCTGTACAGCCCACATCGCTATGCTGACTTTGCATTTTGTGTCCTGCATCTATGTCTACACCAGGCACTTCACTGCCCTCCCCACAGATAAGGCCATGGCTGTCACCTTCACTGTCATCTCCCCTCTACTGAACTCCTTGATTTACACTTTGAGGAACCAGGAGATGAAATCAGCCACAAGGAGACTGAAGAGGAGACTCGTGCTTTATAACAGGATATAGACTTACTCCTCCTTACCACCTTTAAAAATGTTTGTCAATCAAATAAACTGTATTCACTAAAAAAAAAATTTTAATTAATTTTTATATTTCTACTAAGGTTCCAGGACTTTCAAAGATTCTGATTAGCATGAAATAATACTGTAGAAAAATGGCTTTTATGTTATAAAAGAAAGTAGAGAAATCAAATTGTTAGCCAGAGAGGTAACTATTCTACATAAAAGCATCTTATTGAATTAGGATAAGTGGCAAAATTAACAAAACAAAAAAATATATTGTCCCAGTTCTATATTTACCTTTTATTTAACATATCTACTTTACTTATAGATAGTGCAAAAGTGAAAAGGAGATTATTTGCTCAGAACTTGGCATCCATACTTATAATTTTCCCCTCATCCCCTTGTTGGTTGCCTGGTTCTTAGAACCAGCAGTCCCTCAATTTCAGCCTCACAGAGTATTTAGTATCAAACCAGTATTGCTGAATGATTCTTTAGAAATTAACCCAGACCCAAATCAAACACAAGATGCATTTAATATTTTAAAAGTTTTGTTATTGAAGCCATAGTGTTAATACCTTTCATATGAGAATAAGAACATAAGGGATGCTCCATATATAAATGAATAACTGAATTTCAGGAAAACCCATGTTACATATATGACCTTGAATTCACACTATTATGAAAGCCAGGAGAACTGTGTTCATTACAATTATGTATAATGGAAATGAATCACCACTCTGGGAAAGCTCTTTGAAACAAAAATGAAACTTCTTTAATTCCTTCTCCCCCCAAAAAAATAATAATAATAATAATAAATAAAGCAAAGCAAACAAAAATAATAACTATTGCCTCTCACTCATTTCTGCTTTTCAAATCATTGGCTAATATCATTAACACACACACACACACACACACACACACACTTGAGTTATTTGTATTCTCTGATAGCATGACTCTCTAAAAATGGCAGAAACCTCTGAAAATGCTTCAGACTATACATTCAAAAAGGTTAGAATGAAGCAGAAAACATTATTCTATATATCAACTTGGCTTTTATTTGTTTACTTATTATGATATTTACAGCTGCTGAGAGCTTCTCCCTCTCCCTCCCCTCTACCCCCACCACCCATTTCTGGAGTTAGATCCTAGATCTAAATTTTTGAAACTTATATATATATATATATATATATATATATATATATATATATATATATATATATATATATATATATATATGTCCTGGTATAAGTCTCAGTCTACAAATCAGACACGCAGAAGCCCTGAGCTGGGGATGTGCCCAGTGTGTCCAAGAGACAATTAGAGGGGGCTTTATAACTAGAAGAAAAGCAGCAAAGAGAAGAGAGGTAGTTGTTGAGGTCAAAGAGATAATGGGGCCATGGGACGAGGTCATTAGAACCTTTTTGATCATTGTAATGATTTTGACTTTCACATTAAGTAAGAAGGGGTGTATATTTAGAGGACTTTAAAGGACAGAATTAATGGTGCAAGTTTTCACAGAAATTCAGGGGCTGCTGTTATAAATATACTGAAGAGAGGTATAGACAAAACTAGAAAGACCAATTAAGAGGCTACCGACATAGTTATGAAAGAAGTAATGAGGACATGACTTAGGTAGTATTGGTGGAGGTGGTGAGAATTTTTTTAAACTGTGAAGGTTGAGCAAATGGGATTTGCTGATGGATCTAGGGTGGATTTCCTGGCTACGTGGGCACCTCCTCAGAACTCCATCACCCACGTTGTGCATCAGCCATTGAGAGGGAGCTCCTTCACTCTGGCCTACATACACCCCTCAGGTCAAGGGCTCCTTCCACTACTTGTGTGTCACACTTCAGAAATCACCCCACATGGGCTAAACTGCCTAAGGAACTTGTTCAGAATCCCTAAGAACAGACCTTTGTTTCCCAAGAAGAGTATTACTAAGAGGAAACATCAAGGAGGGTTCTGACTAAACTGACCTAACAGGATTTCTGCTGAAGATAGGCCAGGGTGATCGAATATCTCTTGGAAATGGTGGAGGATGAGGAATCTGTGGAACGTTAAGCATTCTGGCTAAACGGACTTAGCAGAATTTTTACTAAAATTGGGTGATGCAGAGATAAACATGGAGGTCCAAAAGTTGAGGTCCAATTGAAAAGTTCAGAGGAGCCTGAGTAGAGTATGTTGCTGTTAGGGAAAAAAAAAAAAAAAAAAAAAAAAAAGTGTGTGTTCCCTAGCATACCTGCCCAAGTAGCATCTTAATTACCCCCACTGAAACAAGCTCACCATCAGGAGGATTTTTCCACAGCCAAATCCAACTCTATTCCCTCTGTTAATTCTCAGACTGTCCTGGGGCTAGGGAGTTGGTAAATATGACAAAGTACAGTGCATCAGCATGGAGGAGTCAAGAAAATGCTACTCTTGAGTCTGTCTTTTTCCACAAAAGGACAGAAGAGAAGCCTCTGCAATCACTACTTCACAGAGTTTTCTGACACTGAATGATTCCCAAGGTCCCTCTGAACATTAATTAAGATGTTCTTGAAAGAAGGTTGGAGATTTTAGGTAAGAAACGTTACTCTACATGAGTGTGTGTGCTTGTGGGGTCTGGTGTCCATGTATAAGAGTAAGGAAAGAAAAGTGGGTTAAAAAAAATCCAGATAGAATCATTAATATTCATAAATATATTTTGAATAGACATAATGTAATAAGTACACAACATGCTGCATTCCAGGGCGAACCTTCAGTGACAGACAGCACAGCTAAGAGATATCAACAAAGAGGATATTGTGGACCTACGCCGGAAGGAGGTAACCAATCAATGTGCTTCTGTCTCTCCCTTTCCCTTCCACTCTCTTTCTAAAAAATCAGTAGGGGGAAAAAATATCCTTGGTGAGGATTAAAATAATAATAATAAAAAGAGGAGATTGTGAAATGACAGGCGTTAGTTTTATTTGGAATAGAAGAAAAGACAATTTGTTTCCTGGTACCTCTTTACTAGTAATATACAAAGAGGGATTTTTCTCAGGTTTATTTCCTGCAGACAGAGCTCCTCAAACTGGTCGAAAAAAAATATTTCTTATGCTAAAGTTAAAACAAGTGAGAAATGAAATCAGACCTTCAAAAAAGAAGTTAAAGAATGATACAATGAGCACCTAAGTACCCTTTCTTAGATTTAAAAAAAAAAAAAATGTTATAGCAATGACTTTTTTTTCCTGTGTCTTTATGTGCCTTCATGTTTATATCTTTTTCTTTCCAGCCAAACTTACCATTTATAAGCAACTTTTATATTCAAGCGGGCCCCTAAAGCTAGAGCTCTGGTTCTCTCCATTCCTCTGTGCCCCGAACATAAAGGTCACCTTCTCTGTGCAGGTTTCTCTGAGCCTCTTAGGGAGAAACCATCCCCCTCTCTCACACAGCTCATCTGTCTTCAGATGGCTCCCACCACTTCCATATTACTACTAGATAGCCATTCCACTCCTAGGCACTTACCCAAGAAAAATGAAAACACATGTTCACACAATGCACTGTACATGAATATTCATAGCAGCTTTATGTGTAATAGCTAAAAAGAAGAAGAAAAAAATCCAAATGTTCATCAACAAGTAAGTAAATAAGCAAACTGTGGTATATGCATACAATAAAAAGGCATGAAATACGGGTATACACAAAAACATGTTTGAATTTTGTGTGTGAAAGAAGCCAAGTAAAAAGAAATTGCATATTGTGGGATTCCATTTCTTGAATATTCTAGAAAATATAAACTAATAGACAGTGACAAGAAGCAGATCAGTGGTTTCCTGAAGAAGGGGGGTGGGCAGAGGGCACAGATTACAAAGGACACATTGGCAATAACTTCAGGACAGCTATTCAGGTGGTGATAACTCTCACTGGTTTTCAGACCTATTCCTGCCTCTATAAACCTGAATCTATTAAGGGGGAGTAAACACTTTCTGAAATAACACTTTTCATTTTTTCCAAGCTACATGAGGAAGAGGAAACATGACTCAATGGAGTTGGGAAATGGCACCAGGGTGAGAGAATTTATATTTCTGGGACTTACTCAGTCCCACGACCTGAGTTTGGTCTTATTTCTTTTTCTGTGTCTTGTGTACATATCAACTCTGCTGGGAAACTTCCTCATCATGGTCACCGTGACCTGTGAGTCTCGCCTTCACACCCCCATGTACTTTCTGCTCCGCAATCTTGCCATCCTTGACATCTGCTTCTCCTCCATCACTGCTCCGAAGGTCCTAGTAGACCTTCTGTCGAAGATAAAGACCATATCCTATGCAAGCTGCATGACCCAGATGTTTTTCTTTCACCTCCTCGGTGGAGCAGACGTTTTCTCTCTGTCGGTGATGGCCTTTGATCGCTACATAGCCATCTCCAAGCCCCTGCACTATCTGACCATCATGAGAAGGGGGCGTTGCACTGCCCTCATTGCAGCCTCCTGGGCCGGGGGCTTTGTCCACTCCATCATCCAGATTTCCCTGTTGCTCCCACTCCCCTTCTGTGGACCCAATGTTCTTGACACATTCTACTGCGATGTGTCCCAGGTCCTAAACCTCGCCTGCACAGAGACCTTTGCCCTTGAGCTTCTGATGATCTCCAACAATGGCTTAGTCGCTACCATGTGGTTTTTCTTCCTCCTGGTATCCTACACGGTCATCCTGATGATGCTGAGGTCTCAGGCAGGGGAGGGCAGGAGGAAAGCCATCTCCACCTGCACGGCCCACATCACTGTGGTGACTCTGCATTTTGTGCCCTGCATCTATGTCTATGCCCGGCCCTTCACTGCCCTCCCCACAGATAAGGCCATTGGTGTCACCTTCACTGTCATCTCCCCTCTGCTGAACCCCTTGATCTACACTCTGAGGAACCAGGAAATGAAGTCAGCCATGAGAAGACTGAAGAGGAGACTGGTGCTTTTCTGTGGTGGAAGAGAGTAAGCATCTCCCACCTCTTCTTCACCAACAACTCCTTTCATAATTTTTCCCATAGAGTCATACTTCTGTACTCAAATATATTGTGAATAAGCCAACTATATTTACTAGGTAACATTTTCTTTTCCTGTTTAAGTAATAGATTACTAATAACCCACGCTTCTGGTAAGCATGAAATAACTAGTATTATAGGATTAAGCTAATTGATATATTTCCACTTAAGGACAATTATATGGCAGTGAAGAAATTCACTGAATCCAACCCCCTTTTCAAGAGCTAAGCCTAGGAATAGAGTGATTTGCTCAAGAGTGTGTATAAATTCAATTGCTGAGTTGTCTTCAGCTACTCAATCGATTGCTGTTACACCATGTGAATGTAATTTATTACATTACTAGATCTGTCTATGCCAAATCCTATTCTAGAAAAATCTCATGATCAGTGCCTCTGAAATACACCTACATGGGTATATATAGCTTATCACAGATTAAGACATTTTCTCCATTGCCCTAACTGGTTTGGCTCAGTGGATAGAGTGTTGGCCTGCAGATTGAGGGTCCGAGGTTCAATTCTGGTCTAGGGCACATACCTGGATTGCAGGCTTGATCCCCAGTAAGAAGTGTGCAGAAGGCAGCTGATCAGTGTTTCTCTCTCATCATTGATATTTCTGTCTCTCTCTCCCTCTCCCTTCTTTTCTGAAATCAATAAAAATATATTTTTTTTAATTTCTTCATTTAGTTAAACTCCATATGGTCTTATGACCTAAAAGGTACATAATGTCTGTCCTCCTGCATTCTCACCAGGAAAGAAAAAGCTTGAGAGGATTACCTATAGTGGACTAACAGAATGTATCTTATGCAGTAGTAGACATGTCAGATTCACAGTCTTGTGGAATGCTTAGACCAAGGCAGAACCTCAGGATCCCACACCAAGAGCAACCCATTCTCACTATGCAAGAACTGATTTCTGCAGTTGCTGCCTTACCAGGGCCAACCTCAAATGGGCTTCACTATTGAGCATCTACACATTCTTCTTACCAGAGAGAGAGGGGACATGTTAAGTAAGATAAAACTCTAGCCAGTCTATCTTCCAATCTGCTGGTGTTTGTGAAAAGGCAGTCTAAGCTAGCACTTTCAACTGAGGAAGCACGATAAAAGTAAAGTAAAAAAGGAAAGCATTGCTGAAACAGGTTTGGCTCAGAGGTAGAGCGTCGGCCTGCGGACTGAAAGGTCCTGGGTTCGATTCCGGTCAAGGGCATGTACCTTGGTTGCGGACACATCCCCGGTGGGGGTGTGTAAGAGGCAGCTGGTCGATGTTTCTCTCTCATCGACGTTTCTAGCTCTCTATCTCTCTCCCTTCCTCTCTGTAAAAAATCAATAAAATATTTTTTTTTAAAGGAAAGCATTAATAGCTGAAAGCTCTGGGATCTGAGTTAAACAGACCTGGCTCCAGATCCTACCTCTGCCATCCACCAGCTGTGAGCAAAGTATTGTATCTCTTCACAGTCATAGTTCACCTATATAAAGGTACTTGTAATACTCATCTCCTGGAGTTATTATGAAGAATAAAATGAGATGATACATGTAAAACATATGATGCCTGGCAAATGATAAATGCTCAGTTAAAGACTAGTATCATTACTAACATCATCCTTTTTTTTAAAATATATTTTATTGATTTTTACAGAGAGGAAGAGAGAGAGATAGAGAGTTAGAAACATCGATGAGAAAGAGTCATCAATCAGCTGCCTCTTGCACACCCCCTACTGGGGATATGCCCGCAACCAAAGTACATGCCCTTGACCGGAATCGAACCCGGGACCTTTCAGTCCCCCAGCCAATGCTCTATCCATCGAGCCAAACCAGTTTCAGCACTACTATCATCCTTATTGCAGTGTTATACTCTTCTCCTACATTGTTCTCATTATTTAAAAAACAAACAAACAACCTGATGGGTCCTGGCTGGTTTGGTTCAGTGGATAGAGTATGGGCCTGTAAGGGCTCGATCCTCAGTAGGGGCCCTCAGGAAGCAACCAATCAATGATTTTTCTCTCATCATTGATATTTCTCTCTCTCTCTCCCTCTCCCTTCTTCTTTGAAATCAATAAAAATATATTTTTTAAAAACTGGTGGGGATAGAAAGCATGGGAATGTATATTGAATTCAAAGCATCTACCATCTTAAAATGTCTGGTTTTCTGTCATTAAAACATGACAATAAGTTTGCTTGTTATTTATATAGCTTAGAGAGTTGCTCTAAAGCTGATGAGATAGAGCATTGGAAAGATTCATATCTAAGAATTTAATGGGTCCAAGATAAATCCTGGATTTGAGAGTAGGAAAAGGACAGCAGACCAAGATGTGAGACCTAGGAGACAGGAAAGAGCTGAATGAGAGTTAATCAGAGAAAAGTGAATGCTGAAGACAAACTTCACTGATGTCCCTCCTGGGATCTGGACTGGTCCGACAAGCGTTCATAAACTAACTGGCTCAGTTGTTCGCCATTCCCTGTCTCCTGATCTATTAATTCTAACTCTTTACAATATTAACTTACTTCCCCTAATATGCAAAATCTAAGAATAATTCTTACTTTTCATCAGGTAGCTCTGGTCTCAAGAGTCCCCAGGCTTCTCTTTTTGAAATTGCTATGAAAAATGCGTAACACAGGCCACCTTATAGTCCATTCCATGAAATGTGTCCTTTCCATGCCTTCCTATCTCTTGTGACTCACTCAGACCAGATTTTTGTTGCTATGTCAGAACTGGGTGGCACCAAAGACTTATGGGGTCTCAATCACTGTACCTCAGAAGCACAATTCCTGTCACAGCACTCTCCATGAGGCTTCCTAAAACCCTATGTAAACACACAACATAACTTGATCCAATGATTCAGGGGAAGGGGAAAGCAATTGCATTGGATTACAACATATATCATTTGTCTGAATGGACATAAAATCACAAGCTGGGCTGCATTCCTCCCCACTGAAATCAATTTTTGTCAGTTGTTTAGAGCGCCATCCCCATGCACCACGTTTGCAGGTTTGATCCCTGGTCAGGGCACATTCTACAAGAATCAACCAATGCATGCTTAAATAAGTGGAACAACAAACTGATGCCTCTCTCTCTTTCTCTCTCTCAAAAAAGAAAAAAGTCAACAAATGCAACAAAAAAAAAAGATATCAGTTTTATTTCTTAAGCTTTGCTGCTAAGAGCCATTGAAAAGTCAACACATTCTGGGCACACACATGGCTTTTAAACTGCCTTTTCCTGCCTTGCTTCCTGAATCAAACATGTTAGCAGAAAACATTTCTGGCTGCCCATATAACCTAATTCTGAAGAAATTAAATTGATGAACATCAAGATCTTGTCACTATGCTACCTCTAAGTGAGCTGTGGATCTCAGAGATACAGACTAACATAACTGCATGGGGCAATGTACCCATCACGTGAACTGAAATTGCATGTATAAATCTACACTGTCCAGGCATTGAAAGCTGCCCTGAGGGGCGCCACAGAGCTTTAATTTTCCCGTTGCAGCCTTTTGTTGAAGTTTCATTTCTCGGCAGGTGGCAGCCAACCTGCAGAAAACAATGTAGGTGCCCAGGGCATCATCACACTCTGAGCAGCACTGCTCCAGGTCAGAGTTTTCAAGCTGCAGATCCTGAACTTCTAAGGGGTGTGATGCCATTAGTAGGTCTGAACATGTATTTTTTTTTTTTTTTTTTTTTTACGTAAATGAAATAGAATAGTCTAGGGCAGAATAGCAAAATCACAGGATTAATCAGATATATTTTTGTGAGGAGAAATCTTGCATCCTTGGTGTGGTTAAACATAGCCCTTTCCTCCTAAGCAAAGGGATAATGTACTACTGTCTCATGTCCTTTGTCTAGATTAGGGGTGTCGAACTCAATCAGAGAAGGGGCCAAAATCTAAAATCCAGCCTAAATCTCGGGCCGAATGGTTTACTGAACAGTCATAAACTGTCATTGTGATGGAAACGCAGTGGAGTGCAGTGATGACAGCGCGGTGCGGGCCACATTGCAAGGCCTGGCGGGACGGATTTGGCCCACGGGCCTTGTGTTTGACACATGTGGTCTAGATTAACAGATATGTTCTCTACATATACACATGAGATGGGACAGAGAGAAGATGAGGAGGAGAAAGAGGACTCATGACATTTTAATGACTCCCACAGAAACACCATTGAGTTGACCAATCAACTTCCACATTCATACCCAACCATATTCTATGTGCTCATTCCTTCATTGGGCTTCTCAGATTGGCCAAAAATATATTTGTTGGTGTGCAGCAGAATTTTAATAATGGTTTATGGGTGCTATGAGATGGAAAGGCTAAACATCGCTGACCTGGAGATTTAATAAAAATACAAAGTTCCAGGCGCCATTTCCAGTAGATTCAATAGTTCTCTTATGGATACCAGGAACCTGCACTTCCAACCAGAACCCCCAATTAGTCTGATGTAGGTGCCCTGGGCGTCACCACACTCTGAGCAGCACTGCTCCAGGTTAGAGTTTTCAAGATGCAGGTCCTGAAACTCTACGGGGTGTGATATGCCATTAGTAAGTCTGAACATGCATTTTCTTTAATGAAATAGAATAGTTCAGGGTAGGATAGAAAAATCACAGAATTAATCAAATATATTTTTATAAATTGCTCCTTGAAACCTTTATTTCAGACATACGCACTGTGGTCTTGATGTAAATAAAGTGCATTTATTGGCGTGTGTTTCAGTGGAAAAGGTTTGAAAGTCACTGGGCTAGGATGTCCTGTCTTGTTCCCATGCCCGCAGTCCCCTTAAATATGCAGCAGCATACTTCACACTCCGCTCCAGCCCCCATGCTAGATCCGTCCAATGTCAACATTCAGGGAATGTGTAACAGCCACTAAAAGGAGCCACGTCCTGGATCCTGAAGGTCAGCGAGCCTCTATGACTGACTAAACCAGACGATTCATCCAGTCTAAGAAAGTAGGGGTGGGGGGAGGCCCCCAAG